TAAGTTAATAATGAGCCATCTAGGTAAAATGGTTTAAAAATATACCCATAGGTTAAATCTCTTGGAAATACTTACATAATTGTTAGACAAAAGACATTTTCAAAGGATGTCTGCCAAAATGATGATTCTATTCAAGTAGTTAGGCAATAAATAGTCTTTTTTGTCTATTGAGATCAATCTTAGTTTTTGAAAAGAAAGCCGATTAATATATGTAACACTGAGTACTGGTTTTCCTTCCATGTCCTCTTTCTCAGCAACTTGATTGTCAAATTTCTTCAGTCATCTACATTGCTTTACCTCTGTGGCAGACATTGCTCTGGATTTACCAGATCAAACAGTATTTTGCTTCTGGTCTGCTTTCCTATTTTCCCTTGCATGTAGGTGGGGTCTTGTTACTGACTTTTGACCTATGGAATGTAGGTAAAAGAGGTATGTGCCCTTTCTAGACCTGGCCCCTGAAAATACTTTTGACATGATGCTCTGGTCTTCTTTTTTAAAATCTGGATCCAGGTACGAGGAATCTGGGTGAGAATTCCAAATTCGGAGGATGACTGAACCATAAGATGGAAGCTTGGCAAGTAATATCAATGTGCTGATACATTCCCATTCTGTTACCATTCCAGATCTTTCTCCTGCTCTGTAGGCTTCTATATCCAATTGCTTACTGTGCATTTTTACGTAGAAGGAAACTAAAGATGGATTTTGCTTACATTTTATTATTGCCAAGTTCTGGCCTGGACTACAGGAATTTATTTTCTAACTCATTTAACTTGATGAAAAGGGTTGACTTGAATTTCATTAGCATATTGCTGGCTTAATTAAATAGTGTTTTTGAGAAAACTGAGTCTTGGTTTTATACAACATAAAGTCTTAGTTTTATATAATAAGTATTGAAAGATAAGTACAAACTGAGTCTACTAAATAAATAACTCAGGAATTGTTTTCTTATCACTGACGGTTTAATAGTAGAACTAAGAGAACAAATTTAGTGTTTTAGGTATGAATCAGGAACTACAAAAGAAAAATTCTGGGAAAAACCTACTGTTCTCTTCAAAATTCCTTCAAGTAACAATTTTTTTGGAGCTTCCTGCACATGCCTATTAATTAATATTATAATTGACAGCAGTTGTGGATTATGCCGACACCTAATGGCAAAAACTTTGAGTATTAGATATAAAGATCTCAATTTGGGATATTGTTTTTTCTTCAGTTTTGCATTCAAGTTAAGGAAAAGCCACCACTTTAGTTTACTTGAATGAGTTCCTAATTATTGATAGAAAAACAAACATTTTGTGAATTCTTCAAGTTGTACTTTTCTTAGAAGTAGGTGGTGAATTGGAAAGAGACCTGAAGTGGGCATGAGATGCCATGAAAAATCTCAATTCTTTAGCTAGCTAGATGATTGTCATTGGATGAGTCACTTAATTTGTTGAAATCCTTTTCTGGGTGAGAAAAAAAAGTGCTATAGCATTCGTAAGGTTCCATTTGACTCCCAAATCCTATAACTCTATGAGTATTTATTAGTCTATTTATTTTGGAGGCCAAATTCAAATATTATTAGAAGACAAAGATAATTACTAATATTAAGGTCATATTAAGGAAGAATAGATATCCTTTTTGTTGACCATATATTTTGTTGGCTAAAGTAAAGCTGTAGTATGATTGAGAAACAATGAAAATTAAGCAGTATAATGCTGTTTTTCAAGGCCTTACCCCAAATCCCCAGCATAAACTATGACAGAGGAAGACTGATACTATTATAGGAATACCAGATTACCATCTAAGGAAGCAGTGATCTAATTGCATGTGGCTGTTGTAATGAAAAATTGCTGGAGAGTGGATTAGAAAGTTCAGTTCCCACATGCCAGATCTGGTGCAAGTTCCAACATTTGAGGTCAGTATGTATGCACAAAATGTTCACTTTTTTTTAACTCTTTACTTTTTTTTTTAACAAAATAGAAGAATTTGAAGAGGACATAATTTAAATTAGGGATAAATTTAAGGTGGAGCTTTGTTCCTGGCTTTTGCATTGATTTGAGGTAGAACTTTGTATAAGATTGTAAGATTCTATTTTCATGTATTTAATAAAAGAAATAACACAAATGATATAAGAAAATTAGTTTAAAATTGCATTCTGTTTTTAAAAGTCTTTTTATGAAAAGAACTATATAAAACCCTTATCACATAAAATAGAAATAAAACAAACAAACAAAAAAACCCCCAGCTGTTCCTATATTGTGCCTTAACTAGAAAACTACGCTAATGGATTTTACAGATTATTGCATAAAGTGTAAACTTTCTTAAAAATATCTATGACGTTTTTCAGGTTGGTTGAGGTAGAGAATAGCTATTGTTAGCTTAGCAAATTGCTATTGTAGAGTCTTTATCCTGTGTATACTTTTCTGAGAACAATAAGGTGAAAAATGATTATAAGAGATCAATATTAAATGACAGCAAGACATATCTTTCCTTTACAAAAGAGTGAAGCAATAATTTATTATTCATTACATTGTGAAGGTAAAAGGTGAATTAGTAGTAATATAACGATTCTAGAAGGTAAAGGAGAGGCTTTAAAACCTTCTATTGATTCTGTATCATGCATGCTCTATTACACTGTGATAAATCGCTGAAGTACGGCTCTTTACTCTTAATTCAGGGAGTGTTTCAGATCTCAAAGTAGAGAGAGGATTGACCTCCTCTGTGTATTCATTTGTATGCCTTCATTGGTATTTAACTCTGGCAGAATTGGAGTGCATGTTTAGGCTTTTTTATTTACTTGATGGCCAGCTTTGCCTCTCTATCTTGTGGTTGTATTTGGGATGGATCACCATAAAGTGGACAGGATCTGTGGTCAGTTTTCCCCTTCACACAGCCAGTGGATCTTCCCTGCTGCCTTTCTGCTAGCTGTTGTGTTGTTAGCTTGTGAGCTTGTTTAGGCAAAGGACTATTCTGCTTTATCCTTAATAGTTCAACAGTGTCTAGTATCTCAAGGTTTGTCACATAAATGAACAAATGATCAACTAATTCATCATGAGCATTATGTTCTGAATATATGTATTTCCACATTAGAAAAAAAATTCTGGGAGGGAACAATGCTTAACCTGAAGTAGTGACTCACTGATAATAGAATTTTAGGCATCAGGTGAGCCATATTTAGGAGAAAGGATGAGAGGGAGGCCAGCCTGGGGTCTGGTCCACAGGAAGACCTGCACCACTGTCGCCTTCACACAGGTTAACTTGGAAGACAAAGGAGCTCTGGCTAAGCTGGTGGCAGCCATTAGGCCCAATTGCAATGACAGATATGATGAGATCCGCTGCCACTGGGGGAGCAACGTCCTGCGTCCAGAGTCAGTGGCTTGCGTCGCCAAACTGGAAAAGGCAAAAACTAAAGTGGCCACCAAACTAGGCTGAGAGGACGCTGTTGAATTTTCTGTACATAAAAGTGATAAAAAGTTCTCTTTCAAAAAAAAAAAAGAAAGGAAAGAAAGGATGAGAGGGACAGGTGTGACTTCAATCACAAGATGCAAAATTTCCACACTGTGTTGCTTTATTTACAGTAGTCCTTGATTTGAGAAATTGCCCCAAAATTCTAGATAAGAAAAGTTTAGGACAGAGCGTTTAGAAAATGAATGGGAAGATTTTGCATCATCTCAATTTTATGAGTGGTATCTTAAAGCTCATAGGATTTGGTCCTTTAATGCCATTGCCACCTTGAAAAGGCCTTGTGGTGCCCGAAATACCAGTGCCTTAAGTCATTCAGGACCAGCAGACACTGCCGCAACAACTTGTTCTTTGGGCCCTAATTCCTGATTTAGGTTAGTCCCTGACTCGGCTCATATTCTCTCTCCAATCCAGTTTTGACTTCACCAGTGATATCAATTGCCTAATACCTGATTGGGTCAATCTCCTGGAATTGCTCTAGCCTTGCCATCTCTGGTTTGGCATCAAGCTTGACAGTTCAAGCAGCCCTCTTCTGCCCCCTTCTGTCACAAGTCTGCATGTGCACAGCTGGGCCCTGGTAATTTAGTCCTAGTTTTACTGTGAGAGCAAAAGACCACGAAATATGTCCACTTAAGTTCCCTTAGCAAGGTAGTAACTGAATGAAAAACTGGGGAGAATAAGACTTCATTCAAAGCTTGATGAAAGAGTCCATTCAGTGAAGGGCCCAGGGCTAGTCATGTGTATGATGCCTCCCTATACTGACATAGAAGAGGAAAATGTTCTGTTTTTTATATTAGACATTTGAGAAGAAAATGAACATCAAAATGAACACTGGTGCCTAACAATTCCTTGTATCTCTACTTTGCTATGAAATGCTTGAGTTATTTTCATGGGAAGAGTGATGTCAACATGAGTAACATTTCTTTAAGCAGAAAAACATACTAAAAAATGAGATTCTCTTTTTTCCTATTAATTAAAGTTCTTCCCTAGAAATTAAAGCTAGTAGATGTTGTCTGCCATACATATGTGAGTGCATGCACTCTCTCCCTCTCTCTTAAAAAAATAATAAAGCTATAGGAAAGATATCATCCAGAGTTAAAATTCTGATTGGATTTAAACAGCGGCAACTGTACAAAAGGAAGATTTTAAAGATGATGACAGTTAAATTATACTCATCAATAAAAATAACCTTGACAAAGACTCGAATTTGGCTGAACTTTAAGTGGAGGTTTATATCGGGCGCCTGGGTGGCTCAGTTGGTTGAGCGACTGCCTTCGGCTCAGGTCATGATCCCAGGGTCCTGGAATCGAGTCCCACATCGGGCTCCCAGCTCAGCGGGGAGCCTGCTTCTCCCTCTGACCCTCTCCCCTCTCATGCTGTTTCTCTCTCGCTCACTCTCTAATAAATAAATAAAATCTTTAAAAAATAAAAATAAAAAAAGTAAGTGGAGGTTTATATCAATTACAAGGTAAGAAATCTTGTACTTCTTCTAATGCTGTCCCACAGAGAGAAGCTGACAACAAAAAAAAGACATCCTATCTTATTTTAGTTAATCTTACCAGTAAAGACGATGGGCAATCTGGATGCTTTGCAATGAACGGTGCAATAGGAGTTGTACCAGAGGACTTTCAAGGTTCCATTCAAACTTGACAGCCTGAAGTAAGAGATATAATTAATTTACTCTTCTTCTCAGTAACAAAATTCTAGCAAAATACAAAGGGGCTTAAGAGGCTTATGAAAAGACAAAGGAAAACAGCATAAACATTTTAACAAAATGTTAAAATTATATTTGATATTTGATATATTATTATAAGATAACCTTATTAGCTGGTGTATAATAACATAGCACACACATCACAATTTGGATTTGTGTAGTCTCTTTCTTATTTATGCTTTAGTATCACAGGATAATAAATAAGAGCAGATGGTTGGTGGAGTTCAACCATGCCTAGGAGGAGAATCCTGGCACACACAAAAATACATAGTATGATTAGTTTCCTAGTGGCATTATTAAATAGTAGATATTTCTTTTCTTTGTGGAATGAAATTAATGCACATTCAAAGCCTTAACTGAAATCACCAATTGATACATCACTATTACCCTGCAGAACCTGAAACTTTACTTAGAGGTTTCAGAGCTGCTTGGTGCCACCCTAGCTCACCCCTCCCCAAATCCTTTCCCTCATCGCCTCTGTGAACAGCTCTTTAGGATTTTCTAGGATACCCAACCTGGTGGAACATACAGACAGTAATGGCAGCTCCTAATATCCTCATGGACTTAATTCGGTACTCTGCAGGGGCTTCACTGTCCACAGGAAGTACCTGGGCCCCATCATCATCCCAGAAATCTAAATATATATGAAAATGAAAACCAGGCTCTCTTCATAAAAATTTCCATCCCTGTTTAAGAGGCAAAACTTCTATTTTTAGTTGCTCAATAGCCATTTAAGTCACACACACACACACAGAGTTTAAGCCAGGTTTTATACCACAGTACAGACAACAGACAAAAGTGGGCACAACATGCATTCACATACACACCTGAAGAAATACCTCAATATGCTGACCATACTCAAGGATGGGAAAGTTTATGAATTCCTAAGGTATAAGAGTGCCAAAGATGATTTCAGCAAATTTGCATAAACTCTTAATGCTGTCTGAATGTATAAAGACCATAATGTATGTTCTCTTAAGTTGCAGCAATGGCTTGCTTTCACTTCCTTGCTAATACTGGGCTGACCAAGTCATAAGTTTTGTTGATGCCCTAATAGCATATCATATGAGCACATAAGCAAGAGAGAGATGTCTTAGAATTTACTTCCATGCTTGTCTTTTTAGCTTTCCTTTTAGATTTCCCCATTATTTCTTCCTGAATACCTACTTATTGCTCTTAAATTGCTTCACTTGTTTCCGAACTCCCTGCATCACTCTGTGCACTGGTGTAATTTCCCCCAATCCTACCTCACCATCTAGAAGGCAGGCAATATTTCTGGTGTACACTGCATTATTATGAACTGTTCTTGGAACCTACCCACACGATGTTGACTTGTGGTTTGCCGTAACCTCTGGGTCTGTGTCTTAATTGCTTTCTGGCTATGAACAATATGTTCTGTTTTTGTTATGGTCTTAAAGTCCTGTCTTATTTCTTTCATACATCCTGCATAATTCTAATAATATAATACATAACAAAATAACATACTTCAAGAAAATAATCAGTAGGGTGGAATTTTTTGCATTTCAAAAGTTTTTATGTGTTTAAAAGTTTTAAAGTTGGGGAGAACATGGAAGTTTAAGGGCAAATTCTATAATAAATGTTTTGAAAATTCTTCTCAGTTTTATTTGTTTTCGAGTCATTTCTCTCCATCTCAAAACATTTTATAATCTTCATTTTTAATTAGGGAGTCATTGCAACACTTCCTAATTTTACTTCTGTGTATTTGCTTTGTTCGATTTTGTGTACACCTTGTCATATGAATTTGGATTTGCGGATATATGGCTCTCAGCGATTTTCCTGGTGCCAAGGGTATTGCTTATTTATTCCAGACTGCCATTTTCAAATGGGTTTAGTATATATAAGATTTTGTAAAAACTTACTTTTTTGATTTAGGTTAGATAGAGCATGCTGCCAATACTCATGAATTATGAGATGAACAGTGTTCCTACAAGTTTGATTAATTTTTATTTTCACTACACTATCCTGATAAGTATAGAAAAATCACAACTATAAAAACTGTTAAGAGTAACTATATGGTATAGCTATTTCTAAACCAGCTTTCGCTTTAGGAGTCCTTCAGAGAAGTGCATATTCCATGTGCAAAGCAATATGGTATTCCCGTCACTGATAGGGGTTTCCCCCATTAGTCTCAAAGTTCTTTGTCCTAGGGGCACTTGGGTAGCTCAGTTGGTTAAGAGGTTAAGTGTCTGACTTCAGCTCAGGTCATGATCCGAGCCCCACATCAGGCTCCGTGCTCTGCGGGGAGTCTGCTTCTCCCTCTGCCCCTTCCCCCTCCACCCCTCTTGTGCTCTCTCTCTCTCAAATAAATAAAAGCTTTAAAAAAAAGTTCTCTGTCTTAAATGTTAAAAAACTGAGGCACCTGGCATTTAAAATAGCTTGTAATTACAACCTGACCTTTTAGGTAAGAAAACATCAGAGTTAAAAAACAAAACAAAAAACGAAAAACATAAAGACCACTCTATTAAAACTACCTATTCAGTCCTCATTACATAGTCAACTTGGGAAAACAATATTATTTGTAGTTTGGATATTCAATCATTTACATGGTCATTTGCAAGATGTATGCTTGTTTATGTTTCAAAATACTCAGACTAAATCAGTCTTTGCTCATATTTCTATATTTCATTTATCTGGCCACATTATTTTCTAAAATTACTCCAACATTGTGATATTTAATGTTGTGACTAAAATGCAGTATCTGTTGGCAGAATTCAGGTATTATCTTACAAAACCTCTTTTATAGATTTATAATCAATGTTAGAATGTTCTAAGGGAAAGGCAAGAAACACATATATTATGAGGAGCTGCCTAGCAAAAGACTATTTTCTAAATAACATTAATTTAATTTTAATTGTTCTACATATTTAGATGAAAAGATTTTATCACCTGCATTTCTATTTTTTTTCCCCAATTCTAAATAATAATAATTTTTAAAAATGTCCCCTTTGGCTCTTATAGACCTTTTTTGTAACTACCAGTTTGGGCTAAAGAATGTCTGTGTTACCCATGTTGACACATGAGCTATAATTTAGTCCCTGGCTTGCCAAATTACAATACCACTTTAGGTAGCCTACTTTTGACTTATTGGAAACTCTTTTTAGAGGATTATTAGTTAAAATTCTAGAATCCTTTGGAAACTCTGCTGTTCTTACCTGAACTAGCTGTGGGAGATATTCCAGTAGTTCATCATTCAAGAGGTTGTCTAATTGTTGAACTGCCACTTTACGAATTTCTTGATCTGGAAAACTAATACAAAATAATTACATCTATTAGCGATTAATGGTATGGAGTAATCCATGAAAAATGTCAGGGAGAAGAGAGAATGAATTCCACCCCCAGCACAGAAGATAAAATCATAATTCACAATCAATTAAGATGATTATTAGCATCAGATTATTATTTTTCCACATTCTGTACTCTCATGTGGATTGCAATAAAAAGCCTTTTCAACTCAATTTTGGAAACTTCGATTTAAGTCAGAAATTGCCAGCTTGTCGATAAAGGATTGTAGGATATCTAAAATCTTTTCTAAAGTGTATGGAAATCTTGGCTTATTATTTAACCATGCATTTGTTAAGTAAATTATTACCAGCTAGAGACCTGATGGTTTATATGATTAAAAGTGGGATATAATATATTTAAAGGAGTTTTGGCCAGATCATAATGAAAAACCAGAAATCTAATAAATAAAAATAATTTAATAAGACTAAATCTTACCAGGATATGAAGGTCTTGAGGGTAATTGTGCCTTATTCATTTTTGGATTGCATATGTCTGTTTTAAGATTTAGCACCCATTAGACACTTAATAAATGTTTGTTACTGAACTAAATTTATGAAAGTACTTAGCATTTGAATATCTATCCCCAAAACAATTAATCCTCAGATGCGCTCTTCAGGCTGCCATCATCTTGTTCCACCAGAAGAATTAGATTCAATTATCTCCAAGCTCCTGGGAAGTGCCTAGAGATAACTTTCGGCACCACACCATTTTGACATGCTTTTGACATACTGCTTTGACATGATTAGATATAACTGGGGCTTTTGTAAGAACAATTAATTTTAAATAAACAAGTTTTCAGAAAAAGTTGATATGCATAATTTAAAACTTGAAGGAATTACTTATAGTAACTGAAACTGATTAAAAAACAAGGAAATAAATAAAAACAAAAGTCAAAAATCCTTTTGCATGGAAACAAACTGAATGCTTTCAACCAATCAGGTGAGAGCTCTGAATACTGGCTCTTAATACTAAGGAGGTCAGGAAACTTTAAAGTCTTTAATGTCCAGTCTCTTCAGCATATCAGGTTACTGAAGGGTGAAATGAATTCTATGCAGTTCAGTGAAAAGGAAAACTGGTATGGGGCGCCTGGGTGGCTCAGTCGTTAGGCGTCTGCCTTTGGCTTGGGTCATGGTCCCAGAGTCCTGGGATTGAGCCCCGCATCGGGCTCCCTGCTCAGTGGGCAGCCTGCTTCTCCCTCGCCCACTCCCCCTGCTTGTGTTCCCTCTCTCGCTGTGTCTCTCTCTGTCAAATAAATAAAACCTTTAAAAAAAGAAAAAGAAAAAGAAAAGGAAAACTGGTATTACTTAGTATCTCTCAACTGGCCCTGATAGCAGTTTGAAATGTAATGCTTAAATGTAATGTTTTACATATTTTATCTTAAATTAAACTGAGCATTTTAATTGCAACAAAAATTTCACTCCACAGTTAGTCACTCGAAATGCTTATTTCTGACCAGTGAATACTTTTCCAATAATTTTCTCCCTTTGAACAATCTAGCAGTAAGACCTAGTAAGAAAACTATAGTCCAGACACATCTCCTGAAGTAGTGCTAAGGTCAGAAGATCCCAGCATAGCATCAAGCACAGGTGGACAGCAGAAAGGGTGCAATAAAAATGCAAAGCTAGAAGAAGGTCAGCTTGTTTTAGCACACTGAGACTACTTTCTCCTAACTAAATGTGATTGATTTTAATTTATTGCTCTCAATTACTAAACCATTTATCTGAAGCCTGTAGACATCAAGGTCAGTTTGAGGACAGTTTGAAGTCTTAGAGGGAATAGTTACTCAGAACATTTTCCTGCCTAAGTGATGACTTAAGTCGGATACTAGTCACCCATGTTTTCTTTTGTGCTTATTTTATCTTATTGATATGAATGACAATAGAGAAAGAAAACAGAAACAAACATCGCAATAAAACAAAACTCTTTGGTGAACACTATACCTCTAATTATGTATTTATTTCCAAATACTAGAATGTAAACTGCATGAAAGCAGAAAGCTTTTGCCTGTTTTGTTCATGGATGTGTCCCAGATGCCCCCAGATTGGTGAATATGCTCTACACATATGTTTGCAGAATGTCTAAACTGAATTATCTTTCCACCTAAAACATCTCTACTGCTAGACTTTCCTCTTTTGGTCTGCATTACTATCTTTCTCCAATCATGTAGGTCTAAAATTTTGAGTCATATTTTCCCCCTCTTTTGCCCTCTTCATTGAGTTTTCCCCCCTTTCCCATCTGGCAAAATTCAATTCATCTTTGAAGTCAAAACTCAAGGACCAATTTACTTGGGAAGCTGTTCCAGCTACTTGGTAGCCCCCTGTAGAGTTTGTCACAGCCTTCTCAGTGGGATTCTATATTATGTACTTGGTTGAAGGCAGGCTCATTCATTATGAATCCCTGAAACAAGCACAGCTGAATAATAAGTTCTTAGTAGTCTCTTATCTTTATATCTAATCATTTGCCAAGTTCAGTTGGCTTTTTTTATCCTAATGGTACTCTAGCATTATGCCTGTTTTTAGTTTCTTCTGCAACTAGCTAGTCTAGGCCATAATTATCTCATGCTGGTACTAACATTTTTCATAGTAATACCTTATAAATTTCCCTAAATTATTTCTAAATTCATTTCTCATAAAACATTAAATGGTTTTCTATTTCCGATGTACCTCTCTTAGGCCCACACTGCTTATCTAGATAGCCAAGGCTAGAAGAACACCAGATTTTTCTCTTACTGTAATACTGAATAAACTGCTTTGGCTTACTGGTTATTTTCCTCTGAAAATGTCATGTGCATTCTCACCTTTGTGAGCTCTGTAACCCCATTTGGAAGAGCTTCTCTTTTCTTGTTAAATTTCCAGTCCTCTTTCAAAATGTGGATCAAATCCTCTTAAAAGTAACTATCCCAATCTTTACTAATCACTTCTCTGAACTCCAAGGGCATTGACTGGCTGACTCCATTGGACAATTAAGATATGCTAGTGTTTATTAGAATTTATCATTTTTTATATATGTGCCATCATTCTTCAACTAGTGAATAAATCAACTGTTCTAGCCTCTTTTTTTTTTTTTTTAATTCTTAGGATTTAGCACCATGCTCCGTACATATTGGGTCATTAATAAAAATGCATTGATCGTGATGATAATAATGAGAAAAATCATACTATTGAGCCCATTTTATTTCTTGCTGTGCTCTGAAATAATTTACATTGGTAGCAATAGATTTAACTCAAAAATACCACTTATGTAAGTCCCAGGTTTTTAAAATTTGTTTCCTCTCAGTCAAAAGGGTGAGAGAAAAACAAATCTGAATGTAATAAAAAAGAAGGATGTATTATTTTTTTTCAGACTCCTTCAGGAATAGGAGAACAAACATTAGTTACATCTGTACAGCCCAAAGAAAAATTATCTACTTGTATTAATATGTGAAACTGTTGGGAAGAACATTTTTACACATTAATGGAAAGGAGTGGATCTTTTTATTCACTACTCTTGCATGAAGTTTAGGAAGAAATTGGAAGAGAAATTGCTAAGAAACTAACCACATGACATCCTGAGATGTGACTAAGGCCTAACAACAGTAAAGCATATCCAAATATAACTTTCATTTGATTATTTTAGGAAGAGTTGGCCACATTAAGAGAGATGTTGGCAGTGTTAGTGAAGCTCCTGGGAAATGTGTCCCTTCATACATAATGGCAATATATAGCAACATGTATTTTAAAAAAATTTTTTAAATTTGATTATTCCTTGATCTAATGATCTACTTTTGGGAATTTATCCTAAGAAGATAATCAGAGATATATGTGAGGATATATGAAATTGGATATTACATAAATGTCTAAAATAAAAGTTAAATAAGCTATGACCATATAATAGAATACATGTAGTCGAAAAATATTAAAAGAATATTTAGTGATATGAAAATATAATGAAAAATATATGCAGTATAATGCCATTTAAAAATGTGCATATTTTCCCATAAGCTTGACAAAAAGATGAGAACATTAAAAATATTAATACTAAATATCTGAATGGAAATTTCATGGATGATTTTAGTTTTCTTTCTTAAGCTTAATTTTTAAAGTTTTTCCAACTTTCTATATGAAAGTTTCATGGGTTACTAAAATATAATGATTTTAAAAAGTAAGGCTCATTTAACTAATTATGAATATATATGAATAAGTGCAAGTTCATTACCAGCACTAGAAAAAAGCTCCAAATCATATGTTCCTTTAAGAATAAACATCATTGTGTAAAAGAACAAGTATTATATTTTTTTGGTTGACTTAAAATATTCTTTTAGCATAATAGGTCTAAATAGGGATCTCTCCCTCTGGAGAATTTCTGCTTAACACCTTTCCGGGGCCCTGAACTCAGGCAAAGATCAATGGACAAATACGTTCCACAACTCTTGGCATTTCTTCCCTGTGATGTTGTCTGAAATTGTTTAAACATTCTCTTGGGATATAGTTATTGGCATTTCATGCTCAGTAACGCATTCCTCAATGAGGTGAGTGTACCCAGATTTTCTGAATGTCGTGGGATATTTACAGACTGAAATGTTATATGTGGCAGAAGGACTGCAAACTACTTCAAATTTTCCACAGCCAGGTTATTGTACTTTCCAGTGACCTGACTTGCTTGAAAAATACGTATAATTCCTGCCAATAATAAACCAGGAGCCACTCTCTAGTGATTCTGCTAACCTTGGGACTACTAATTACTAGAGGCATGGGCATTATACCTTGAGTCTGGGGAAGAAATGAAAGTATCATTAGAAGATTCATTAGGCTGATATTAATGAGGACCTCATTTACTTAAATTTGTAAGAAGCTTTCTTATAATCATTCAGAAAATAAATCATTTATAATGTAATAAATGGCACTCTATCGTATTTGAGATATTAAAAAGATGCAAGGTCAGTAAAATTCTATGACTTGTTGGAGAGAAGATCATGTAAGGTGAGG